GGAGACCCACCCAACCCGTGGGGAGAAGCGCCTCCCCAGCCCAGCCCAGCCCAGCCCAGCCTCAGCCTCAGCCTCAGCCTCAGCCTCCAGCTGGCACAGGGCCAGGCAACCTTTGGGGAGTGCCAAGGCCCTCTTGTGGGCACTGTCACAAAATGGTTGTCTCCGACGGTTTGCCTGGTCCCCAACAGCTTTGTCCAGGGGAGGCACTGGCTGTTCCCAAACATCCCTGTTTCTGAAAAAAGCAAATATTGATGGAAATATTCCCCGCCACCCGATCTCTCCACAGCACCCCCCTTTTTCCTTGGGAAGTTTGTTCTCCCCCCCCCTTGCTTTCCATTTCTTTATCCTAGACAAAGGCCAGAGTTTGGCAGGGAGGGGATTTTGTGACCCCGGTTGCAGAATGGGCTAGCTTTTACCCTAGTTTGGAGGCCCATCAGCGGGATCCGAAGGACCTGCGTCCTTCATAGTTTGGAGCCCCTTGATATCAGAAAACCCTTCCAGGGCATCAGAAGCCATTTTCCTCTTCCAAATGTTAGCCTCTTAAGGGAAGTTCTGGGGTGGATTTTACAGATCTTGAAATACCTTCCCCAAAACTAATACACTGCTTCATTTTCTGTAACCGATCAGGTGCAACTTCCTGTGCAACGTCTTAAGCATCAACTTAACTGACTTCTGGCTTGGGGGTTTGCAACAGGGGGGTCTCAATCTTCTTTCTTTGCTCATGCCCCCCTTCTGAGCCTCATTTACCTCTGGGGAGCCCCCTCCCCGTAGTCATTGACCGTAGTCATTTTCCAGATTTACGCGGCTGAAATTTGCACGGAGAATCAGATGGGAGGATTATGAGACATCCATCATACGCCTGGCTGTTCAGTTTAGGGGGGCTCTCAGAAGTGTACGATGCCCCCCTAGAAATATAGCATGGCCCCCGGGGGTCCTCAAGGCCCCCTTGAGAACATTAGTTTGGAGAATGAAACCAGCTGGACAATCACCAAGCTGCAAAAACGCATCGAAACCTTAACCCTGCCGCTAATATTCAGCCCAGCGTGAGCTAAACTAGAACGCCCATTTGCACTTGCAAAGAAGGGAGAAAAAGAAAAAATTCTTCTGTAACTTTACGACTTTGGAGGCCAGATGGAGCCCACTTCTGAGACTGGGGTCCCATTATGAAAATGTTCTTCATCTCCAGTTGGGTGGAAAAAGATGAGCAAGGACGCTTGTGGAACGGGTCTTCCATCGTCCATCGTTTTCTTGCAGACCATGAAGTCCGGTGCCGCCGGGCTACATCTTCCTCCCGTATCCCCCTCCTCATTCCTCTATCAGCAAAGTTGTCCATGACCACCAAGGCACCTTGGACGTCCTCCAAGGACAGTTAATTCCTAACACCCGCCATGTGAATTATACACCGCCCTGGGTCAGGAGGCTTCATCTTCTTCATTAAGGCTGCTCTTTGGGCTGAAAAGTCACACCAACATTGCTGCGTCTCGGCCCTGGGTCACATCTCCATCCACGCGGTAACACTTTAACCTAGGGATCAACTAGGAGTTGGCGTTATCTTGGTTTGGATTCTTGGAAGATGAGAGCTGGGGGGGAAAACCCAACTACGCCTCTTTCTAAGGAAGGAGAGAAGAGTCTTTTGGTGGGATGGTCCATCCCACCCAAAAAGGGGAGGAAGTATATTTATTCTTTGATTCAAGGGGAAAACTCCCAAACTCCATCCTTGTCCTCAGTGTCTTCTTGGAAATACGTCCTTCAGGAGGAAATACGCTTTTCAGGGTGGGGAGAAACTGGTTTACGGTCCTTTCTAAAATGATTGCTCAGTGTTAATGCAAGGTAGACGTCCACCAAGAAGGTCAATTCTCTCCTCCAGCTTCTCACGCAGCTCTGATCCTTCCCGTTGACCGTCATGAGCTTCACCGAGATCTTGGAACATGTCGGCAGCCTGGGAAGGTTCCAAATCGTCTACGTGACCCTCATCTCCATTCCGGTGTGCATGATGGCTTGCCACATGATGCTGCAAAATTTCACCGCAGGGACGCCGGATCACCACTGTGTGGTCCGCCGCCACGCCGCTCCTGGGAACCAGAGTTTGGAAGAGGAGGGTCTCCTAGTGGTCTCCCTTCCCATGGATGAGAACCAAAAGCCAGCGCAGTGTCGCCGTTTCCGTCACGAGCAGGGGTGGCCTTTGAACGGCACCGCCAAGAATGACACCCGGATGGAGACCGAGCCGTGTAGCGACGGGTGGGTGTACAACCGAAGCGTCTTCCGCAGCACCATTGTGACGGAGGTGAGACCAAATGCAATCGGATTTAGAAGTTCTCGGTTTGGGCACAGCCGGGTTCTCGAACGGTGGGGCGGGACTCGCCCAGGCATTGTGGCTTATTTTTATAAGATTGTATTGAAATTTGAAAGATACATATTCAAAAGTTAGGAATAGAAAAGAAAAATTGAAATACAAAATATAAAGAAAAGGAAAAGAAAAAGCGAAGTAACGTACAAGAAGAAAAGGGATGAAAAAGAGATAACCTCCAATCTATTTCTGGTCTTAGAAATAATAAGGCTATCATAAGTGCTAGTTTTTAATACATTAAATAAGAAT